GGCAGAAGCCGGAACAAGAGCGGTAACAACAGCAGCAGCAGCAAAACAACAACAGCAGCAGCAGCAGCAGCAAAACAACAACAGCAGCAGCAGCAGCAGCAAGACATCCTCCCTTGTCGCCATGTTGAAGAAGGAACCAGTCGCGATGACGTCCAGTTCGCGCAACCTTCACCTGAGTCAGTCGAGCATTGACGGCCGCGGCAGCGTGCGCAGCCGCAGCGGCCGCGGCAGCATTCACACGATCTCCAGCACAGTGATCCACATCGAGCGTTACACGGGAATCTGCAGCGGCGACCCAGTAACGCGGCGCGGCAAACGCATCCAACTCGCCAAGGTGCTCGGCGTCATCATGATCCCGATCATCGCCGTCATCTCGCAGAATCTTGCGTTACTCATCGGGAGCGTCGGCGAGCGGTCGCGCGTCGGCTCGCTAAGCGAGCAGGTGTCGACGGGAGTCGAGATCGGGAATCTAATCCACCATGTTCAGATCGAGCGCGGCATCACGGCGCTGTATATAGCAAGCCAGGGCGACGCCGCCGTCGCCGAACGCCGCGCCGAGGTTAGCCGCGACACAGACAACATGCTCGTGAACATCTCGCTGTGGCCGCAGAGCGAGAACACACCGGAGGCGTTCCGCACGAAGAACAAGTTCCAGCTGGAGCTGAACAAGCATCGGTATCATCTCAGTCGCCTCAGCATCGAATCGGCAACAGTGAGAGCGGAGATTCTTTATTACTCGGGTCTCATTGAGCTGCTCCTGGATTGGGTAACCGACGTCGTGCAGCAGTCCAAGGGATCGGAGAATTGGAAATCGCTGGTCGCATACAGTTCGCTAGTACACGGGAAGGAACAAGCGGGAATCGAACGAGCTACGGGGAGCAGTTTCTACGCGGCTGGTAAGAAGCACGTAGATATCACGCAAAACAAATAAGATTTTCTTTTATCAATAGGTATCAAAATTAAATTATTCGCCTCATATGGACCTATCAGCCAAAAAAATCCATGGAATACATTAAAAAAGCAAATTATGAGAATTATTTGGGGAAAAAAGTTAAATTTTAAAGCAGCTTGGTCATAAAAATGTTAGTATTACCATTTGAAATATAATTTAAGCGAATTTGTATGAACATTGTCAATGAATAATCTAGTGTTCCATCTTACCCAGAACAGCGGGGTAAGATGAGACGTTGAAAAAAATGTTTGATCGTCTATAAATCGATCAATACTGACTTACATTTAGTAACCATGAAATATTTTATTCTTTTCATTGTTATTGATCACCCACAAAGATATTTTGGCGGTAAAGTTGGTTTAGTGGGGTTTACAGGGTTTCTGAAAAACGTGTCCTATCTTACCCAGGTCTCCCCTAATATATACACGTGTGTGTGGCTGTACATGAGAATATCTGCATGCTCTTGTATACTTACGTGTACTATATACAGGTGTGTGTACATGAGCATATATGCATGTCATGTACACATGTGTGTACATATATGTGTACATGGGTGCATGCGTGCGTACTATGCACACTCTTGTATACTTGCGTGTACATGTACACGCGTGTGTCCGTCGGCATTCACTTATGTGTATACGTGAGTACAATGTATACATGTGCACGTACTAAGTGTACATATTACATAATCACGTAGAACAATATACAGTACTACATAGGTTTCTACTAATTTGTGTACATGGGACATGTGTACGATCAACATCTAATATAATACATCAATTATGATTAACTTTTGGTATGATGATTATATTCCGTTAGGTGCATTAATTCCTAGCTTGCTTAATGTTCTTTCAATTGACACACACAGGCACACACACGCACGCACTCACTCACACACGCACGCACACCCGCACACACATACACACGCACGCACGCACGCACTGCGCGACGACGCACACAAGAGCACGAACCCGATCGCAATACAATAAATATTTAAAATTTAACACTGCTATTTTCATTTCTCGTCCTCTAATTTTCCTCTCCTCCCTCTCCTGTCATCTCTCCTGCTCGTCGTCTCTCTCTCTCTATAAATATATATATATATATGATATATATATATATATATTTATATGTATATATTATATATACAAATTCATATATATATATAATACAATATATATATATATTATATGAATTTCAATAGGCAAAGTCCATTTTGAAATCTATGGCCTAATGAAACCATTAATTATAAAATTTAAAATTTACACCCTATTCTATTCTCTCTTTCTTTCTCTCCTCTCTCGTCTCTCTCTCTCTCTCCTCCCTCTCTCTGCCCTCTCTTCTCATCCGTCTCCTCTTCATCTCTCTCTCTCTCTCTCTCTCCCTCTCTCGAGCTTTCTCCGCATCTCGTCACTATCGCGCGCCGGCCATGTGCTTGTGTGTGTGTGTGTGTGTGTGTGTGTGTGGTGTGCTGTGTGTGTGTACGTGTGTGTGTGTGTGTGTGTGTGTGTGTGTGTGTGTGTGTGTGTGTGTGTGTGTGTGTGTGTGTTTGTGAGTACATGGAAGCTATTTCATGAGGCCATACTTTGTACTAAACACTACTTTCTTCGGCGGTTTTCACCGACAGATGTGCGTGTACTGTTAAAAATGTGCATTTATTGCGTGTATGGCGGAATATGTTTTAACACATCATGCTACTGCTAGCTTTAATTTGTGTGTTCATGACTGTCACGCGAGCCATCATCCGTCTTCCCAACCGCTTCGGTTTTTCATCTTAACCTCCCAGGCGCGCGCACGCCGCACGGCCTAGAGAAATCGGCACGCAACGAGAAAAACTTTTTTGTTGCGTTACAGTTAAATTTCACGTCTGTTAAAGAACGGCCGTTTCGTTCCCGACACAAACTATATAATTTCCATGTGCATATTTTGATACGCAGTTTCAGATTCGTTCACAACGGCGCACGAACAAAGGAATTCTGAGCGAGCAGTGAGGATAAAGAGACCAACATGTTCTGCTTGCATCTATGACAAATACGACATACGCATAATTATACGCTCTCCTATATGACACTATTTGTCATAGGAAGATTCTTCCTATGACAAATATTGGCAAGTCAACTTCGTTCCGCTTTACAGCTGAAATTCACTGCTTGCGTTCATAATAGCGCTCCAAAACTCCTATGATGCGCACAACACATACAACAATATTTGTCATAGGAAGAATCTTCCTATGACAAATAGTGTCATTGGAGAGCGTATATGCGTATGTCGTATTTGTCATAGATGCTAGCAGAACAGGCTGAATAGATTCACCAACATAGTTATTGATGTGTCATAGTTATGCCGCTAACTCAGTTGCTCACGCAACTTTTCAGGAGGCTACACAACACCGGAGCTGGTCGACTACACGGAGAAGTTATTCCAAGGCAGAGCCTACCTGGATAGTGCTAACCGCTATTCGCCGATCATCGTGCGCGTGTTAAGCACGCATTACTACAACACGAGCCTCGAGCAGGTGATTGAGTCAATGCGGGAGACGATACTCCGCAACGAGCAGCGGAAGGAATCGGCGCAGCAGGGCACGATCTGGTTCGAAAAGATGACGGCGTTCATCGACATCCTGCACGTCGCCGAGCTGGCGATGACCGAGCACATCCAGGTGACACTCAGCGAGGACGTGTCGCAGGCTAGCCGTCGCATGACGATCAACATCTGCATCCTCGTCATCGTCGTTGTAGTTTCGCCTATCATCGTCTACTTCGTCTACAACATGACGACCAACATACAGAAGTTCATCGGAAAGATGAACGAGACCGTAGCCGAGCTGAATCGAGAGAAGAAGCGCGCAGAGATCCTCCTCTACCAGATGCTACCCAAAGCTGTCGCCTCTAAGCTGACGAACCGTGAAGCCATCGAGCCGGAGACCTTCGCCGAGGTGACCGTCTTCTTCTCGAACATCGTCGACTTCGATCAGATTTGCTCCCAGCTGACGCCCATACAAGTCGTACACATGCTCAACACGCTCTACCAGACGTGCGATTCCAAGATCGAGCTCTACGATGTGTACAAGGTCGAGACGATAGGTATGTGTACAAGGTCGAGACGATAGGTATGTGTACAAGGGTCGGACGATAGGTATGTGTACAAGGTCGAGACGATAGCGTTATCGTGTACAAGGTCGAGACGAATTAGTATGGTGTACAAGTCGAGACGATTAGAATGTGTACAAGGTCGAGACGATAGGTATGTGTACAAGGTCGAGACGATAGGTATGTGTACAAGGTCGAGACGATAGGTATGTGTACAAGGTCGAGACGATAGGTATGTGCCACAAGTCCGAGACGAAGAGGTATGCTGTAACAAAGTCGAGACGTAGGTCGCTGTAACAATGGTCGAGACGATAGGTATGTGTACAGCGTCGAGACGCATAGGTACAGGATACAAGGTCAAGACGATAGGTATGGTACAAGGTCGATGACCGATAATATTGTGTACAAAGGTCGCAGACGATAAGGTACATGTATAGGCACTTAATTGGAACGTCTCATAAAAAAAGGTAATAAACACGAAATGTATTTACTTACCAAAGTCATAATGTTTCTCTACTCTATTTACGCCGTATATTATTGTCGATAACTTGCTGTAATGCCGTTCAAATTGGCTCATCTGCAACACACAAGTCACCGCGCTCGCCGCGCCCTGTGCACAAACAACAAGAATAAAAAAGAAAATAGAGAGACTCTCTTAATATTATTCTTGTGGTTTGTCGCGCGGCGGTGCTTGTGTGTTGCAGAATGAGCATCATTGAACGGCATTTACAAGCAAGTTTATCGGACAATAATAGTGCGAAATAGAGTAGAAAAAACATTAAGACTTTGGTATAGTAAATGCCATTTCAGCTGTTTATTATTATTAATTGTGAGAATTATATTCAAGATGCACTGTGGGTACGATGCTACAGTATAATTGCTAAGCCTGCATGCACGCGGCTGCCTTAAACGATTGCGAGGACGGTCTTGATGCGGCGGATTAGCGATGCTAAATTACACTTCGGACACTAAATCCTATAAATTAGCATCAACTCATCGAACGACCGCGTCGTTGCGTGCGCGTCGACGAGATAAAGGAAAGATAATTAGGGAACTAATGATTCAACATTACACCCCTCTCTACATATAATGACTTCTCTCTCTCTCACATCACCTCTCTCTATCTAACCTCTACCCTCTCTCATCATACTATCTCATCTCTCTCTCTCTTCTCTCATCTCTCTCTCTCAGCTCTCCTCTACAGACTCAGGCGCGCGCCATACTCAGTCTCTCTTTACTCGCCTCTCGTTCATTCTCTTTCTACTCTTTTCTCTTTCTCTTGTCGCGCGCAGCGCTTCAGTCATCTCTACTCTCGCCTCTAATATATCGACCTCTACTCTCTCTCGCTCTCTTCTCTTCTCTCGCAGCTCATCTCTCTCTCATACTTGACCTCACAGCGCATCGCAGCTCGCCTCTCTCATCAGCTCCTCGCCGCACTCTCTCGCTCTAACGCGACTTCTATCATTCTCTCTCTCTCTCCCATCAGTCTCAGCGACTCTCAGTCTCTCATTTTCTCCGCTCTCTACTCTTGCTCGTCGCCTCTCTCTCTCTCTCTCTATGCTCTCGCATCTCTCGTTCTCTCTCTCTCTCTCGCTGATTAGCAGCCGCGCTTCTCAAGTCTCTCTCTCTCTCTTTCGCTCTCTCACACACTCGCTCAGTCTTTCTCGCTCTCACATATACTCGCCCTCTCGCGCCCTCGTGCACGCTCAACCTTGCCACTCTCGCGTTCTCTCTCTCTCTCTTATTTTTTCTCCCTCTCTCTCACTCTTTCTCCCTCTCTCTCCTCATTCACTTATGCGCTTTTTTCCGCACATCCATTCGTCTCCACAACACACTACACACTACACGCGATCATGTCTCTTCGTTTGACCCACATAGACGTTGTTTACGGCCAAAGCATTCACGCGAAACCATATTGAAAAGCGCGAATCTGCTAAAATCGCCTGGTACTAATATTTTTTTCATCCCTTTCATGTCAGTGTGTGATGCTATTATGCAACAAAGAGGCTTTCAGAAAATTAGCGCTACTATTAAGTGGCTATTAGTATCATCCGGTACATTTAAAAAACTATTACATCATCGTATCAAAAAGCCTACCCTAATGTATAAAATTCAAATCATTAAAGGATACAATGGCAAAGGTAAATCTTTCATTGAACGGAGTCTGATGTTTTACCTCGCCACCATATCACCATATCAAACGTGCACGTGAGTTTCCGTAGATTATGAAATCAAGACTGAATCCATCCATCCATCCTAACGTTGTTGTGATAAATTAACGCTGGGTGATTACGACTAATTGGGATGAGTCTATACAAGACTATATAACGCAACTTATAGCGATTCGCAGAGGATCACGCAAGGAAAAAATGAATTGGACTTTGCGAGAAATGCGCCATATATATGTAGAAATATAAGCAGATGTCTAGCGCAACAAAAAATAGATTATAGTAACGTAATATGTTTGATGAGGTGAATATGCAACAACAGCCATGTGTATGTGGGTTCTAAAATCAATGTTACTCTTGACCTCAACTCTGGATCAACACGGATTTTCTTAGCCCACTTCTTCCCCCTTCAATGTCTCCCTCGCATCCATGCAATTATTGTTTACTATGTACAAAATCCCGAGTGCGTTATTATTAGGGCTTATTATGCGTTATGATGGTGACCAGCCAAGATAGACAGATCTACATACTAATCTTAGCCTACTTATGATTTATTAGGCGTTAATAAATATGAACTAAAATGTTACATTATACATTCAATAATCCGAAAACCTAATATTTTCTTATACATATTCGCAATCGAAAAAGACAACAAAGTTTACGCAATAATTGCGTAAAAGCTACAATTTTCGCAAAACTTGTTAATAAATGTCAGTGGCTCCTTCCAGTGCATGGGGAAAAGACCTGTTATCAGATTCTGGGACAATTTCCAAGGTTTACCTGATTTGCTATACTGCCCTCGCCTACTGGTTCAAACATATTCTTATTCTGCACATCGCGGGGGTCGTTGTTGGCAAGAAAGTCTTAAATAAATGATTTCGAAATTATTGCTTCAAAACGCAAAATCTGGAAATCTGGAAAAGAATATAGCGAAATATATTCTCCCTTAATAGCGCATTATTATGTTACTGATTACACCAACTTGAAATACACTCCACGTTGTGCACGGGTATTGCTCTAGTAAAGATTAAACGTTTATTGGCGAATGAATCGCATCAATCACTTGTTTTATTTATAGAGGAGGTATATCTCTATGCTCAAGCCCAAAAATTTCATGAAATTTCCAGCACCTAATTATGTTACCACACAAATTTTGAATTTTTATGTAAAAATGGTATTTTGGATATTTCTCAACTATCCAACTATCAACTATATGGACCAAAATATGAAGGGTTTTCTATTTTGCACAATGAATGACCGCCTGTGTGTGTAATGGGTGAACGTATGTGATATATCTATTGTTAGTACTTACTGCGACATATCCATGACTAACTGACACCACTAAATTGGTAAAATGTTCCATGCACCTTGAGAAATTCTGAGAAATTACGAGGTTACCATCGCAGAACGCGCGAACTCCGCTCATCCTGACGTCACAAAGCTATTATGTCAACAAACGCGTGCGGTGTACCGCACTACTGTAAGGTGTGTTGCGAGGTGTTAGAACTATTTTGGGCGGCGTGGGATACTTGTTGGATCACTAGCAGATGTACATGAATGTACATGAATACATGTAATGACAGCTGTAGCAGGGTTGACGCTGAATGATACTGGCTTAGTTAATATCGTGGTTGTATCATGTCTCTGACGTCATAATGATGTCAGCCGCTGCTTACTATACATGTACGCGGGCAAGCAAAAACGCTCTGACAGTTCACATGTACCGTTATATGGAGAAATGAGCATGTACACAGGTGGCACATAGTGTTAGCCATCGAATAAAGTTGAAAACGAAAAATCGATGAAATTTCATGCACAACGTGGAGAGTATCCTTAAGAATTTATGCTGTCATAGCATCGAAAATTGAACACGTCGTAACACCGTGGCGTATTTGATTATAGGTTAGCTACAACACAATACAATACAAGCGTCTTCAAACAAGTGCACCTAATTCTAACGAAAAGACATCTAATTCTGTGTAGTGAACTCGGTGCGATTTACCGTTATTATCCATATCTGAATCCGTTGGTGAATAAGCTGGATGCGAGGCGGCGTGAGGCATGTGGGAAGGGAGGTTTAGGAGCCAATATCTCAGCCTAAGAGTATCGTATTGACAAGCGGTTGGTCTTGTTTTAGAGACTAAAGAATTCTGCTTAATGCAATATCATAAAATTATTCTAGACTTGCAGGCAAAGTAGAATAATGTTGTCGTGAAATAGCACTATTTTCCCGTTTTTCCGTTGTACACTCTAGGTATTATTATCTCTTGTTAATATGACCACTGTCTGGCGCTATCGCGAGATAATCCTAGATTTGCAAGAAATGGCGGCGGAATTCAAAACGATCGAATCGTGCGTGTTTTGGCGAATATAGCTATGTACGAATGTTCTAAGACATGTTAGCGTTACTCTAGACAGTTATTTGTACTCAATCAATGACAGTAAGTATAGCAAAAGTGGGGAAAACACAAGACCGGTCAAAAATTATTTTTGAAATCTTTACTTTAATTCTAAGCGGTAGTACTGCTTGAAGGTATGTCTTGTCGGGTCATCCACGCTGAAAAGCTATCAGAAGTCTTCGCAGTTGAATTTGGAGTTAAGCAAGGATGCTTACTGTCACCGCTGCTATTCAGTCTTGTCATCGACTATATTATGGAAAAGATAACCCATGGCCAGCGTAACGAAATACAATGGACACCTTGGACCCTGCTTGATGACCTCGACTATGCTTGACGACCTGACACTGCTTTCACACACACACACACACACACACACACACACACACACACACACACACACACACAC